TTTGTCTAGAATATGTGGTGGTTTTGTTTACTGAATTATTTAAATGACTAGTACATTATTAGATAATTAAATGCAGTATAAATCTTTATATTTACATTTTGCTGTAAAGATTTTCAAAGCGTGTTTACCTCTTTATCACTTTAGCCTCACGTGTCTTTCTATTTCAAAGGAAGTGTTTTCTTAGTTTATAAATGAGAATATTGGTCCCAGAGTATTTAAGTCAATTTTGAATATTAAGTAGATAGAACTAGATTCATAAATCATATTTCCTTTTTTTAAATTTTTTTTTTTTTTGAGTCTCACTCTGTCACCCAGACTGGAGTGCAGTGGCACGTGTCAACCTGCTGGGCTCTGGCGATCCTTCCACCTCAGCCTTCCAGGTAACTGGAATTACAGGCATGTGCTACCACGCCCGGCTAATTTTTTATTTATTGTAGAGATAAGGTCTTGCCAAGTTGCCCAGGCGGGTCTTGAACCCTTAGGCTCAGGCAATCCACTCACCTCAGCCTCCCAAAGCGCTGGGATTACAGGCTGAGCTACCAAGCCCGGCTTTAAGCTTTTATTTTTCATTGATGTTTTGTAGTGATGAGATCTTGTTATGTTGCCCTGGCTGGACTCGAACTCCAGGGCTCAAGCAGTCCTGCCTTAGTCTCCCAGTATGCTGGGATTTCAGGTGTGAGCCCTATGCCTAGTTGGCATTTCTTTTTAAAAGGACAGTTTTATGAAAAATTAAAATTCAATTTAATAACCCTGCATCAGACATTTATGACAGTTCTCCACAATCTTTTTCTGTTGACAGGCTTCGGGATCAATCAGTTAATTAATTAAGAGTCAGGGTCTCACTCTCTTGCCCAGGCTGGAGTGCTGTGGCATGATCACCACAGCCTGGACCTCCTGGACTCAGGCAATCCTCCCACCTCAGCCTTCCAAGTAGTTGGCACTACAGATGCACACCACCACCCCTGGCTAATATATATATATTTTTTTGTAGAGATGAGGTCTCACTATGTTGCCTAGGCTGGTTTTTGTCATTTAATGTAGCAATTCAAATGCTGTATACAGGTTAGAAATCATGTCTCATCTTGTCAGTTTCTAGCCTGATTATAATTTATCTCCGATTCTCTGACTGTATTTCATGTTTCTGATAAATATAGCTGTTCCTGGTTCATTGAACATACTTTGTGCTTTTCTGCAATTTCTTCTTTTTCTTTGAAAAGTCTACTCAGCTATCATTTCTTTTTTTTTGAGTCTGAGTCTCACTGTTGCCCAGACTGGAGTGCAGTGGCACGCTCCTGGCCACCGCTCCCGGCCACCGCAGCCTTGACCTGCTGGGCTCCGGCGATCCTTCCGCCTCCGCCTTCCAAGTAGCAGGAACTACAGACGCGTGCTACCACGCCCGGCTAATTTTTTTTATTTATTGTAGAGATGAGGTCTCGCCAAGTTGCCCAGGTGGGTCTCGAACCTGGGGGTCAGGCAATTCACTCACCTCGACCTCCCAAGGTGTGGGATTACAGGCTGAGCCACTGAGCCCGGCTACCTATCATTTCTGTGAAACTTTTCGTGTTTCTTTTTCTGACTTATTTTCTCAGGTGAGTTTCTATCCATGGAGACCTGGGCCCTGTATATCTATTTTTGAGTTGGAGTCTCAGTCTGTCATCCAGGCTGGAGTGCAGTGGCACGCACGCTCATGGCCACCCCAGCATCAACCTGCTTGACTCTGGCTATCTGGCCTGCCTCAGCCTTCCAAGTAGCCGCAACTATAGGTGCGCACTTCCACGCCTGGCTAATTTTTTGATTTATTATAGAGGTGAGGTCTTACCAAGTTGCCCAGGCTGTTCTTGAACCCATGTGCTCAGGCAATCCTCTTACCTCGGCCTGCCAAAGTGCTGGGATTACAGGCTTGAGCCACCACGTCCAGTTGGGCTTTATATTTTTAAATTAGCATGTTTTTATTTGTTCTTTGTGGGTAGCTCCAGTTTTGTTTTTAGGCAGAGTTATTCAGGATTTCAGTTTATTGTACTGTTTAGTTGCTAAATATCTCTTAATACTTAACTGTTTTCTCTTGAATGATCTCATTTATACTTTCTCAGTTATGCCTTCTATGTCTTTTGTCTTCTAACCCTCTGCCACCTAGTTCTGAATATCTTGAGGCTTCATTTCTCTCTACTTTTACTGTCACCACCCTAATTTAATCTACCATGATTTTACCTGGACTGCTGCAAACTTCTTATAACCTAACTCCTTCTCTTCAACCACTTGTACTTTTTTCCTATTTGTTCTCCAGGCAAGAGTGATACTTGAAAGTAGCAGAGGGCCTGCCTGCAGTAGAAGCAAATAAATAGTTCTGAATGACTCAGTAGACACTCATGTTCACTCTCTTCTCTGCCGCCATAGTCAAGCATTTGTGTGGTAGAAGACTGTAGCAGGATTGAACATGAGACATATTTGGTGTTGGGGTGTCATGCTCTTTTGTTATCCATGAGGCAGCCCAACTTGTTTCTAGTGTTTGTTCCCTTCCTCCTTCCTTCCCTGCTTCCCTTCTTCTTCCCTTCCCTGCTTCTCCCCTCATTCTTTCCTAACTTTCTTAGCTCAAACACAGGCATATGCTAAAGTTTGACCCTTGGTTTACAATTTGGTTACCTGATATAAATGAATAATGCAGGTTTTTTCCCCTCTTATCAGGAAGTCGCAATACTGTTTTAGTTCTTGTAGAATTTAGTAATACTACTACTTTTGTACTCTAGTTTTTGCATATTCAGCACATTCTTACTTTTTTTGTTTGTTTGTTTTATTTGAGCCTGAGTCTCACTTTGTTGCCCAGGCTAGAGTGCAGTGGCATGCTCACAGCCACTGCAGCCTCATCCTGCTGGGCTCAGGCAATACTTCCGTCTCAACCTTCCAGGTAGGTGGAACTACAGTTGTGCACCACCATGTCAGCCCTTAGTTGATTTTTTTTCACTTACTGTAGACACTGGGTCTCACTAAGTTGCCCAGGCTGACCTTGAACCCTTCCTTGGCACAGGCAATTCTCTCGCCTTGGTCTCCCAAAGTGCTAGGATTACAGGCTTGAGCCACTGCACCCGGCCCTTACTTGATTTTTAGAATATAATATTTCACCTTTAAAGAATATATTACCTTCTCCAAAGGGAACTGGGATCCTGAGAATGGAAAGGACTCCCCTTCTATTTAATTAAGGACAAATTTTAAACTTATACAAAATAGAGAATAATATAATGACCCCCCCCATGTACTTGTTATCTAACTTCAGCATGACTAATCTTGTTTTATCTAAATCCTACCTTACTTCCCCTTTGCACTCCTCCAATTATTTTGAAATAAATACTAGTATATGTAAATACTTCAGTTAAAATGACTTCTTGGCCGGACTCGGTGGCTCAGCCTGGAATCCCAGCACTTTGGGAGGCTGAGGCAAGTTGATTGCCTGAGCCTGCGGGTTTGAGACCCGCCTGGGCAACTTGGCGAGACCTAGTCTCTACAATAAATCAAAAATTAGCTGGGTGTGGTAGTGTGCACCTGTAGTTCCCGCTCCTTGGAAGGCTGAGGTGGAAGGATTGCCAGAGCCCACAGGTCAAGGATGCCGTGACCGGGAGCGTGCCACTGCACTCCAGTCTGGGCAACAGAGTGAGACTCCGACTCAAAAACAAAAACCAAAAAACTCTTTGAGGGCACAAAAATAACTACTAGCAGAGTCAGAACTTGAATCCAAGAGAGTGGCACTGTTGTGCAGCCATTGTTTGCTTAACATTGAGCCTGATCTTTCAGGATGTGTTTATAAAATAGTGACACTGATGTTGACAAGCCAGGTGTTATTGGAAAAAAATTCTATTTTAGCTGGGTGTGATGACTCATGCCTATAATCCTAGCACTTTGGAAGGCCATGGTGAGAGGATTGCCTGAGCCTAGGAGTTCAAGACCAGCTTGGTGTGTACCTGTAGTCCTAGCTTCTTGGGAGGCTGAGGTGGAAGGGTTGCCTGAGCCCAGCAGGTCAAGGCTGTGGTGAGCTGTCATCTTGTTACTGCACTCCAGCCTGGGTGACAGAGTGAGACCCCGACTCAAAAAAAAAAATTCTAGTTTAAATTTATTGGACAGTTAATATTAACAGACTAGTAAAGGAGCATTACCCCCAATTCTGTTACTCTAAAGTGAAAGTTATTTTCATTACTCTATAGTGGTACATTTTATAGTTCTAATGTTTATCACATTCATCCTGTTGATTATTTTTAGTGGAGGTCACTTTACCAAGTAATTATTTCTGTTTTCTAAAGTTTATTACTTCATGGATTGGGCATGGTGGCTCACATCTGTAATCCCAGCACTTTGGAAGACTGAGGCAGGAGGATCACTTGAGCCCAGGAGTTTGAAACCAACCTGGGCAACACAGCAAGACCTCATCTCTACAAAAAATAAAAAAATTAACTGGATGTGGTGGTGCGTGCCTGTGGTCCCAGCTACTTGAGAGACTGGAGTCTCCAGGCTGTGGTGATATGTGATTGTGACACTGCACTCCAGCCTGGGTGACAGAGTGAGACCCTCACTCAAAAAAAAAAAAAAGTTTATTCTTGCTCCTTAAGGGAAAAAAAATCCCAAGATAGTGTATTGTTTCCCTTTAAATAGGGAAACCTACTTGCTAATCATTTTCTAAAGTTTATTGTTTAAGGGAGGAAATCATCAATACCTTGGGGTAAATGCTTAAGTTAACTGATATGTGTTCATGATATCATGAATATAAAATTGTTTTTTCTTTTGGAGTGTTTACCTAGATAATAGGTTAAAATTCTTTCAATTATTTTTGAAGGTTTGTAGTCTGAAATATCTACTTGGTGGTAAAGAATTCTTTCTTTTTGTGCCTTGAACATAAGTTTTAGTTTGTCAGTGAGGAAAGAGCTAGGAGATATGTTCTTACTATTGAAAAAGTGAGGGAACAGGAAATGTTTAATTTTTACTTTGTACTGATTAAAATATTTGAAATCAACTATCTTGAACCTATATTTATATAGGTCCAGTTTATGTAAAATACTCTCTCCTATTTTTTTCTCACAGAATAATACTCAATTTTTGTAATTAATATAAAGATGTATCCTTGTTTTAATAGGTATCAAACATGATGGTACCATGTGTGACACCTGCCGACAGCAACCAATTATTGGCATTCGATGGAAGTGTGCAGAATGTACAAATTATGATTTGTGCACAGTATGTTACCATGGAGATAAACATCATTTAAGACATCGCTTTTACAGAATTACTACACCAGGAAGTGAGAGGTAGGGGAAGCAATTTTTTTTCTTCATTTGCGATTCCTTGTTTAAACTCAGGTTTTGCACTACTGAGCCTTAAAAATAGCATTGACAAATAGCTTCCAACAGTTGGTTTAGTATCAGGCGGTAGCAAATAGCAGCCTCAAAGTGGACCAAGCCTGTTGTATAATGAAAGAAGACCTCTGGGAAGATGGAGCTGCCTGTATTTTTCCAAGGTAATCTGGGCTAGTCCTTCTGTACCTTAGAGATGTAGTACTAATGTACATTTGTCAATACAAGGGCAGCCCGAGAGAGGCTGATTATTTTCTTCTCATTGTGCCAGCTAGTCTGTTAATTGCTATCAAATGGACACTGGGGTCCATTGATTGGTTAACAGGCATGTTTTAAGACTACATGGCAGCTCCTTTGTTTGTGGACATTTGAAGATAAATAAGACTCATGGTCTTTTTATTTATTTATTTTTGAGTTGGAGTCTCACTTTGTCACTCAGACTGGAGTGCAGTGGTATGTATACTCATGGCCACCCCAGCCTCGACTTGCTGGGCTCCAGCGATCCTTCCGCCCCAGCCTTCAAGTAGCTGGAACTACAGGTGCATGCTACCATGCCTGGCTAATTTTTAAAAATTTTTGTAGAGACGAGGGCTTGCCAGTTTGCCCAGGCTGGTCTTGAACCCACGGGCTCAGGCAGTCTACTCGCCTTGGCCTCCCAAAATGCTGGGATTACAGGCTGAGCCACTGAGCCTGGCCAGACACATGGTCTCAAGGAATTTACAAGTTAAAGGAAATAATGAATCAGTGATTATCATTTGATGTTTTGGACTGTGGTAGAAATATGTGAATGTTAATAGGTGCAGAGTTTTAGGTGATGGAATCTTCTCATGTAGATGTAGATAATGCATAGGACATCAAGAACCTAGCCAGTCATGGGAAGGCAGCTTGGAGTAGTAGTAGATGAATAGGATTTTGAAGTCAGACTGTCATGCTGTAAATTGTGGTCTGCCATTTAGTAACAGTAATTGTGAACAAGTTGGTTATTTTTGTCTTTTGCTTGCAACTGAAGTTAAGGAATAGTAAGGACATTATAAAAATGAGTAGAAAAATGAGCTAAAATTTAAAAAACAGCAAAAATACCTCAAACCTTTCTGACTATGTGAATGGGAAGGATGTACAAAATAAGGGATAGATGACTTACTGGGAGAATCATGGTGGCTTAGAAAGTTAAGTGTAGAATCTTTATCAAGGTTCATAATTTTTGTAAGTATGTAATACTTTGAAGACAGTTAAGTATAGGTCAAATCCAGGCCACAGATGCATCTTACCGACATACGCAGAACTCTAAATTTTAGAATAATTGCGAGCCCTTTAAAAATCAAGTGATTTCACACAGATGTCTAAATTTAAGATTTTTTTAAAAACAACCTCCACTCCCCTGCTTCAGAAGACTCAACATTGGCTATTTGTTCATGACAATAGTTAGCTGAAGCAAAGGATCATCTGCCACTTTAGACAAATCATGCTTTTGAATTGACCAAAGTCCCTGCCATTCCCTGTTGTCTTCCTAAGTCTGAGGTCAAGTGCTAGTTGCCATTTGTCGTTGTAGTGCTGTCTTTCTTAGACCCTCGTTTATATTACTTGCCTGGCAGCTGTAGGGATTTGAGTTTGCCACCTCTAAAATAGTGGAGTATAGTGATACCCTAAAATACTTAGATTAGATTCATATGTTGACTTAATTACTTTTTAACTTTTGTGACCTTGGGCACATTACTTAACTCTTTTAAGATTCTGTTTCCTCATTTGTAAAATCTATGTAAAATCTATAATATAGCAGTAACTTTCTCTTAATGATTGTAACACACTTTACACCTGTGCAAGTGTTTTTACATATAGTTTAAGCTCAGTAAATGCTAGCTATTATTATTGTTACAACTACTACTGTCATTATCATTATCACCTGTGGAATGTGAAAGGCATTCCTATTATGTAGTAACTAGAACAACAAAGAATCTACTTTCAAAATCACCTTTTTATAGTTTTGTTTTAAAAAATTACTGTTACCCATTTTTATGTTAACTTAAATAATTTTATTTTTAGGGTTCTGTTAGAGTCTCGTAGAAAATCTAAGAAGATTACAGCCAGAGGAATCTTTGCAGGTGCCAGAGTGGTACGAGGAGTGGACTGGCAGTGGGAAGATCAAGATGGAGGAAATGGACGTAGAGGGAAGGTACTGTTTTTTCTTAATTCATCATGTGTAATAGAGTATAGTATGTTCAAGAGACTTTTATTACTTTTATAAGTGAATTTCTTGGCCCATTTTTTTCTATGCCAGTAGCAGTTTTAGAAATCTTTGTCTCTTTTTTCCTTTGAAAGAAAAAAGATTGTTCCTGCTCTTTTGTAAGTATTGGTGTTACATTGAGAAGGTTGTTAGGTCGATTTTACCTTCCTACCTATAGACTTCATGTTGTCATTTTGTCATTTTGTTCCCAGAATGCCTTTCTGAACACTCCGTTTGTTTTCCCTAAGCAGTATCTCATGCTCTCTACTTTTCTACTATTAGGATTTCATTTAAATTGACTTGTTTTATATTCCATTTCCTTAAAGACCTGTTTTTGAGGGGCAGTGGGCAGCCACTCTGTTACCCATTCTACCTACCTCTGTTATTCTTCTCAGATAGTGTGGAGGACTCAAAGTTTTAGGAGCAGGTCAAAGCAGAATATTCTGTGGGATGAGATGAGAGACCTCAGCTGATTCAGAGGTCGCAGGGAATGGGGGTGGAGGAAGAATGGGAGTGTCATCATTGCATTGTCCAAGCTAGCCGAATACACTTGAGGAAGTTAGTCACGCTCACTTGGGCATTGTGTCCTCAGGAAAATAAAAATGGCACAGTGGTGGTGGGAATCTTGGTGATAAGAGCCTTTAACTCGCCTGGCCCATGAATCACATAACTGCAGTCTGTACGTATCATACCCCCCCACCCCATGCTTTGTGCCCAGTAATCATCCTGGAAGCTCCCTTTGAGGACCTATGATAGATGCCTTTGCTTCTTTGCTGGCTGGATCTCGTGTTTTCTGTATCCTGTTGTAGAGCACACATTCTAGTAACTTCTTTCAAAAGAATTCATGATAAATTTTTAATACTTTTGAAAAAATGACTTTATTTATTCTTTTCCACTTAATTATATGGTCAGAGGGTTGCAAGTCTTTTTTTTTTTTTTTTTTTTTTTTTGAGTTGGGTTATCACTGTGTCACCCAGGCTGGAGGGCAGTGGCACAATCATGGCTCACTGCAGCCTTGACCTCCTAGGCTCAGGTGATCTGTCTGCCTCAGCCTCCTGTGTAGCTGGAACTACAGGCACATACCACAATGCCCAGATAATTTTTTGAATTTTTGTAGAGATGAGATCTTGCTATGTTGCCTAGGTTGGTCTTAAATTCCTGGGTTTAAGCAATTCTCTTGCCTTGGCCTCCCAAAGTACTGGGATTATAGGCATGATCTATCGTACCTGGAAGTCATTTTTTCATAAGATTTTGAAGGCAGTTGCTGTTAAAGTTTGAAGTCATATAAATGGAAAGTTCTGGATTTTTACAATATTGGCACCTTTTTGGGCTAAAAGTAGACATTCTTGAGGCTTTGCGTCATCATATTACAATTTTTGGTTTGTTATGATTTAACACATGTTGCATTTTAAGAACAAAGTTAGGAAAAATAAATGACATCTTATACATGTGACTGAGTAAGGGAACTTCATATAATAAGCTTTCAGAGTAATGTTGTTAAGCACTTGTTTGAGACAAAATGTAATTATTGTCTAACTTTTTTTTTTGCCTGTGTGTGAATGAAGAAAGTTAACATCCCCCTTTTCTTTCAGTGCTGGCTGCTTTACCCTACTCTCCTGCTGTAACCCACATTAGCTGTGTGTAATATTTTCTTAAAGGGCTTCTTAAGTACCATTACTCTTTAGTTTTCTTTTTTTTTTTTTTGAGTGGGAGTCTCACTCTGTTGCCCAGGCTAGAGTGCAGTGGCATGCTCTTGGCCCACCGCAGCCTCGACCTTCTGGCCTTAGGTGATCCTTTTGTCTCAGCCTCCTCAGTAGCCAGGACCACAGGCATGTAACATCATGCCTGGCTAATTTTTTTGATTGGTTGTAGAGACGAGGTCTTGCTGTGTTACTCAGACTGTTCTAGAACTCCTGGGCTCAAGAAATCCTCTCACCTCAGCCTCCCAAAGTGCTGGGATTACAGGCCTGAGTCACTGCACCTGGCCCTGTGTTAGTATTTTAAGACTTTTTGTTTTACAGTTGCTTTTGAATATATGTCAGTTGAGTGTTTCACATTGATACTCAAGATCTTATTTCTTTTAAGAAAAACTACTTTATTGTGGAATGTTTCAACATACACCAGAGTAGGTAGAACAGTCTAACAAATTTCCTTAAAATTATTTGTTGAAGAAGTCTGGTTCTTTGAGTTTGGCCAGTTGATTCTTTATAGCATTCTTTAACTTGTTCTTTTAATCCTTATATTTCCTGTAAACTAGGTGTTAGATCTGGAGGCTTAATTATAATTTGATTCAGGCTCAATTATATTTTGGCAGGAGTTCCTCATGTGATGATGTGTACTTTCGATTGCCTCACAACTGGGGGCCCATAAAGTCTGATTATCCTACTTGTTAGCATTGAGGTGGATGAGTGGGTGCGGGTTTCTTCGGATGGATCCTTTGTAGAGTTTCTTGGCAACATTATACCAGCCATTCCGTGCATGTTTCTTACTCAGAATTGAAGGCAGGAAATAATTGTGGTTTTTTTCTTATGACTCCTACTTTGCTCCCCACCAATAATAAATCAGATTATATTGACAAATGAAGGAATTTCATTGAGTGGTTCAGGGTTTGACTAGGGTTTGAATAATGAACTTGCTTCTATTTCAAATAATATTACATTTAGGATGAATTGGAGTTAAATAAAATTTGTCTTTCCTTTTTAAGTAGTCAAATGCTTTTTTGTCCTGCCTACAAAAATACAGACTTATTTAATACAGCATCTCTCTTTCTCTCTCTCTTTTTCCTTTTTGAGGTGTGGTCTCACTCTGTCACCCAGGCTGGAATACAATGCACAATTACAGCTCACTGCAATCTTGACCTCCTGGGTTCAGGCAGTTCTTCTGGCCCAGCCTCCTGAGTAGCTGGGACTACAGGTGTGCGCCACCACACCCAGCTATTTTTTTTTTTTTTTATAGTGATGAGGTCTTACTATGTTGCCTAAGCTGGTCTTGAACTGGGCTCAAGCAATTCTCCTGCCTTGGCTGCATCTAATTTTTTTTAAAAAAAACAAGTGAAGTAGCCTTTGAATATATTAGAATCAGAAGGAACTCTTTGCTAAAGATTATATATTTTACTTTTGCTTTGTAAAGTTATATGTACAGTGGTTAATTGAGCAGAACATAGAAAGCAAAGCAATGTGGACTCTAAATTCAGAATGGTAGTTACCTCTTTTGGGAATCAGGAGGATGGGATTGATGAGATGTACACAAGGGACTTAAAAAGTACTGGTAATACTTCTTTTAGATCAGATAATAATTACATGGTTGTTAATTTCATTTTTTATTCTTTAAGGTTTATATGTCCTATATTTGTATGATATATTACAAAATATAAAAGAATAAATGGCCTCATTTACCAACAACTTAAAATATTTCTTGAATAATTCATTAGATTGTAAGCATAAAACCCTCTTTTTTTTTTTTTTTTTTTGAGTTGGAGTTTCACTCTGTTGCCTAGGCTGGAGTGCCGTGCCACACTCATGGCTGCTGTGGCCTTGACCTGCTAGACTCAGGCAATCTTACTGCCTCAGCCTTCCAAGTAGCTGAAACTACAGTTGCGTGCCACCATGCCTGGCTAATTTTTTTGACTTATTGTAGAGACAGGGTCTCACCAAGTTTCCCAGGCTGGTCTGGAACCCCTCTGCTCAGTCAATCCTCTCACCTTTACCTTCTGAAGTGCTGTGATTATAGGCATGAGCCACCACACTTGGCCCCATAAAACCCTTTTATTTCCACAAAAGCACCATAAAATACCTAGCTTACAAAACTCTTTCTTTAGTGCAAGATAAAAAATAAAGGTCAATATATATCTTATTTATAGTAATAGTCTTTTTTATTTTTATTTTTGAGTTGGAGGAGTCTCACTCTGTTGCCCAGGCTGGAGTGCAGTGGCAAGATCATGGCTTCTCACAGCCTCAACCTTCTAGGCTCAGGCAGTCCTTCTTCCTCAGCCTCCTGGGTAGCTAGGACTACAAGCTCATGCTCCCATGTCTGGCTAACTTTTTAATTTTTTGTAGAGATGAGGTCTTAAACTTTGTTCCCTGGGCTGGTCTTGAACTTGACTCAAGTAATTCTCCCGTTTTGACCTCCAAAAATACTGGGATTATATACATGAGTCACTGCCCCCAGCAATAGTCTGTTTTTTAAATGTATGCATTAAAAATTGAACTTAAGCCGGGCTTGGTGGCTCAGCCTGTAATCCCGCGCCTTTGGGAGGCTGAGGTGA